TGCAGTATCAATTTAAACTCTTTACTCAATCTACGGTTGATTTTTTGATGTATGATAGATGATATTTTTAATAGTTTTTAATAGCATGTTTAATGATTTCTAATATTTCCTTCATTATGTTAAAAGGGCTTATATATGGACTGTGCTATCATTAAAATACATAAGCAGGCCAGATGTGGTGGCTTACTCCTATAATCCCAGCACTCTAGGAGGCCAAGGCAGGAGGCTCACTTGAGGCCAGGAGTTCAAAACCAGTCTGGGCAACATAGCAAGACACTGTCTTTACTAAAAATAAGAATAATTAGCCAGGTGTGGTGGCACACACCTGTAGTCCCAGCTGCTCGGGAGGCTGAGGCAGGAGGATTGGTTTAGCCCAGGCATTTGAGGCTGCAGCGAGCTATGATCATGGCACTGTACTCCAGCCTGGGCAACAGAGTGAGACCCCATATCTTAAATAAAAAAACAAAAATACACAAGCATGCTCATACACTCCTTACTTACAATCCTCAGGGGCCCCTCATTGCCTATATCAATTGTCACCCACCTGGCCAATCATTAGAATAACCACCTGAGATTTTTAAAAAACTGAATCCTAGACTCTTTTCACTGGAGACATTTAATTCAGTAGATCTGGAGGAGGAATGTTGGAATCTCTATTTTTTAAAGCTCCTAGATGATTTTGAAGAACAGCCATGTTTTAGAAACACTGACCTACAGGACAAGTTCTAAGACCTTGTGTGGCATCAGGGTTCTTGATTTTCTCTATTCTTGCCCCCTCCCCAGCCTCATCTACCTTCCTCTTCTCTGCTTCCCTTGCTTTTTAGTCCCCAGCAGCAGTAAACCTAGAACCCTTCTCTGTATTCCTTGTGTGCCTTCCACCTGGAAGAGCTCCCCACACCCCACCCTCTGCTTTCAAACTGAAGCACCACCCTCTCTGAATAAGCTACCTCCAAACTCCCTAGCTGGCCCCAAGCTCTTCTGAGCCCCTACTACAGCTTTTAGCATCTGTATTACATGGAATGGCATCTGTTTATTTATAATTGTCTCTCTACTTGTCTCCTCACCCCCTGGAGACTGTGGAGTGCTAGATGTCCCTGTGCCTGGTAAAACACCTGGCCCCCACCATCATATAGGAAGCACTCAATAAGCGTTAGCCTGGCCGTTAGCCTGGCCGAAAGAAAGCACTGTCTCATGGTCACTCTGTGCCAGCATGTGCCCAGGAGCTTGCCCTGGGAGTTGATTCTGGCTGACCTGGGAGTGGTCTCTAATTAGCTGCCAGAGTCCTCTTTGTAACTGACCCCAGGAGGAGCTACCCAGTAGCACTCTGATCCATTCAATCCCCTTATCAGTCCCCAAGATAGAAAAGCCACTTCAGATCTGGAAGGGTTCCAGAAAGATCACTAAAAATAGATCTAGTGGTGATCTACATTTCCTTAGAACCCCCTGATATCTGATCCAAGGAGTAGAGGAGGATTCATTATGCTTATTAGTCATTAAGACAAACTCTAAAATGTAAAAAGATAAATATTATTTAGCCAGCTATTTTGTAAAACTACATCTAAGATGACATCTTTCACAGCCTCACATAAACCATCCTCCCATTCTTTGAAGTCCCTCACACTCAGTAAACATGACAAGGTATTGAAGTGAAATGACGTTGTTTTAACTGTAAGGAAACTACCTCCCTTAAAGGCTCCTTTTCATCCTTCCTTTGAGATTCAAACTGATTCTAGGAAACATAATTTAACATTTAAAATGGAGATTTAGCCTTAAAGAAAGTGCTGGGGGAAAAAAATTCAGAAAAGGCAGGACAAGAAAAGCTGGGTTAGCTGGAGGACAATTAGGAAGAAAGCATAAGATGGAAAAGGAAAAAAAACCGAAAAAAATAATGAGGTTTTATTGTAGTGTTAGGAAACCGCCGTTTCAAAGGTGAAAGTGTCATTTTACAGTCTCACAACTATGCCTGGCAGGAAACGTGTTTGCTCTAAATCCTAATTTGGGTGTGTTCCTGTAGAAATGTTGAACTTCTCCTAAGGGAAACAGAAACTTAATCGTGCAGGAAACTAGATACTGAAAAAACAGTGGTAGCTCAGCGTGGCCACAAATAACCGTGGTGTGGAGGCAGATAGAGAAAAAACTTGTTCCTCGTTAGAGAGCAAGCCACGCTTCTCCCTGCTCACGATGAGAGGCCGAAGATTGCCCTTGGACATCCAGATTTTCTATTGTGCCAGACCTGAGCAAGAGCCTTTTGTGAAGGTATGTTGGAGTGTGTCCCTGAGGGCTAAGAAGGCACGGGTGAATTCTCAGTGATCTGCCACTCAGTATATTTTGAAATTTGTTCTAATTAGAAAGGATTATTCCGACATTCAACCTGAGCAGGTATTTTATTCATTGTGGAGATAGATATGGTATTGTCGCCCTTTCCCCTTCGAGTCAGAAATCCATATATTTGTTTTTTTTAATTTCACAGCCTCATTTTGTACCTGTGATAAATGCAGAGTTTGCCAAAAACATGATACTTTATTTAATACATGTAATGCTGGATTTGTGAGTCTTTCGTAGTTGTAATTCTTCGATACATAAACACTCCTCGAGAAGATGGTAACATTTATACACTTAATTTTCTTACCTGTAAATCTGGCTCAGACTGTAGGGGGTACTTTGTATCAATATCTGTCACTGTACCTTTTAGAAATTGAGTTGTAAACTATCTGATAACTTTTACAAATGTATCTTAAATGTTTTTTCTCTATAATATAAACATCATTAATACTGGTACCCAGGAATTTTGATGAATTAGTTGCCTAATATAATCCTTTACTTGATCTTAGTTACAAGGCTGAGAAGCCTAATATATATCCTTCAATTTCAAATAATTCAGTGATTTATTCTGAATCAGAATAAAATGTGACAAAAAATGGATTTTAAGGTAAAAGGGACTTTGGTATCAATAGTTCATAAGCATGGCTGTAATTAAATAATAAATGTTGTATATAATATAAGGCTTCTCGTTTTAGAAGGGAAGAATACTTTGATCATTTCTGAACCGTACATAAAGAATCGTAACCTAGTCATAATTTAGACTAAAGCTTTGTGTTTCTTTGCATTGTTGCTCCTGGTTGCTGTTATCATTCATTATTGCTATCAGAATTGTTTGCACAACCTAGAAAGAAAACAGGACCGTTGACTAAAAACTATCCTTTTCATCTGAAACTTCCTATTTATAGAAGACTTACTGATTGGTCTCTGATTAGTCCCTTACAAATTCAAATTTAGATGTTGGCTAGGGGAGAATAATTTGGGACATTTCAAAGGTATAAGCTGCTTGTGGAGTTATACATTGTTCTCGATGAACGATGAATGAGCAATCAGCAGTAGTAGTAAAACTGGAAGACTCATGACTTTAATGTATACATATTCAATGCCTCAGTGGTACTGCCTTAAATTCTGCATTTGTTCTGAAATTGAAACACTAGCCATTTCCCCAAAGTCCTGTTCAATTTATTATCATCTCCTGCCGCCAAAGCTCCACCTTTTCAGGCAGTTGCATACCTGAGGTAGTTTTCTTAGCAGCCGGAGGAAAAGCAAATACGTTATTGTTCTTGGCTTGTGTGTCTTCTCGTTTCAGATCATCACCGTAGAGGAGGCAAAGCGCAGGAAGAGCACGTGCAGCTACTATGAAGACGAGGACGACGAGGTGCTGCCCATCCTGCAGCCCCACAGCGCGCTGCTGGAGAACATGCACATAGAACAGGTGGGCGCTCCCGGGACTGGGGATGGGGTTCTTCCAGGCCTAGAAGCGTATTTCCCATCCCTGACCACATTTGCTTTTCTCACCGGGGATGAAGAGTGAGTCACATGAGGAAGGTGGAAGGCCAGCAGCTCACCTGAGACCAGTGCCCCCTGCTCTGCTTCTGAGAAGTAACAGCATCTTTGCCCACTGCCTTCTTAGGAGCGTGAGGGCTTGGTCAGGTGTTAGCATCCTTCTCTCAAACGTGAAGGAAAAGCCATTTCTTATCTGGAAAAAAAAAAATTGTTTTAAGTGTCCTATCTTAGTCCTAATGCACTTAAAAAGGATCCAGACTTATCCTGGCAATTATTGCAGAGTTCCAAAGGCTGTCATTTACAGGGCTCAATAAAAGTAACCAAGCAAATACATCTTACTTGCTTTATGAAAAATATCTGTCTCTAGGAAGAATTTTCCTTTTTCTATAATTGCCTTTATATTTTCTGAAAATCTGTTACTTGAATATTGTGAAATACTGTTATAACGTGCTTGTATTTGAAACTTACTAAGGAATCTTTTGCACTTCTCTCATCAGTTAGCTTAGAAACCCGAATTTCAGAGACCTTAAAGAATCTTGAAGTTCAGCTCCCTCAGTTTACAGACGAGCCAGTGAAGGCCCAAGAAAGCCCAGAGACTTGACCAAGCAGTTATAGAGATGGACTTCACACTGCCACTAGAGCTGATTTTACACACTCCGAAGACTTAGCACTTTATAGCATTCTTAAGTAATATTTTTGAAAGACATACATTATTGGTGTTCATGGCAGCCATGTTTAAGCCGAACATTGATGTAGGTGAAAGATACAGGTGTGATGAGGACAGACTACATCTGACTTCTAGCGTAAAATTACCTGTGTTTCTTGTTCCCATTTTTGTGGGAAGCTGCATTTGTCAGTAGCAGCTCTGAGTCTGAGGATTGAGAAAGAACAGTTGGAGAAATACGAACTGATTGGTGAAAGTCAAGTTGAAGTGGGAAGGAAAAGCATGTGTCTAATAGCACTCTGTCCAGCTTGATCTGTGTCTCCAAATGTACAGTGGCATAGGGACCTCACAGTCAGGTCCCTGAGTGGGGACACATCCTCTGGGCAGCATCCCTGCCAAGGCGAACACTAGCAAACAATGATTTTTTCCCCTCTCTTTCTTGGTTTATAGTGGCAAATGTTCGCCACAGTAAAGGGGGGCAGTAGGTAAGTATATGATTTTGAGTTTGAGCCGCAGGCGTTTGTTTTATACCGCACATTCGTGAGTGCTTTATGCATGAACCATCTATTTACATCTCCTTCTTTGGATTCATAGCTGGCCCGGCGCCTTCCAGCAAGGGTGCAAGGATATCCATGGAGACTGGCCTACAGCACTTTAGAGCACGGGACCAGCTTGAAAACTCTCTATCGGAAATCAGCATCACTAGACAGTCCTGTCCTGTTAGTCATCAAAGATATGGATAATCAGGTGAGGCCTGTTCCTCTCATAAATAACATTTTTTAATGATGATTTTTCAAACCTACCAAACAGGAGAGAGACTAGTACAATGAACTCCTATCACCCAGACTCCACAGTTAGTAGGATTTTGCCACATTTGCTTCCTCTTTTTTTTTTTTATCTTTGTTTTTTTTTTTGCTGAAGTATTTTGAAGCAAATCCCAATCATTATATCATTCACTTTTACATATTTCAGAATCATCTCTAAAAACAAAATGGAGCGTATTTACAAATACAGTCATTTTCTAAGGATTTTTTCCCCTGTGCTCACCATACACTAGGAAAGTATAATGATATCCTACAGCCTAAAGCTGCAAAAGTTGGGGAAAAGTCAAATCTGGATTTGGAGATAGTGGCAGAAGTAAGTTCCGGTGCCATACCAGAACTTCACCAGGTCGCTGAAGTGGTACTCACAGACCTTGCCCCCATGGTGGCTGTGATGCAAAGCAAGTCAAGGCCATGGTGTGCTGTGCCTGAGGGACCCAATTGTTAAGAAACAGCAGAGGATGTACTGCACTATTTCTGACTGCACCTTTGTCTATGTTACAGTTGGTCTTTCTTGGAGGCACTGCTGGAATCTGGATACTACCCCTATATACCCCACACTGCTATTTTCTTCCCTCAAATCAGCTTGGACTTTGAGTAGAATCTGTCTAGGTTTCTTCCAGGCACTACCCAGTCAGGCTCTTACATCACAAAAGGAAGGCATCATTCAAGTCTGCTCTTCATGTATTTCACTTTGATCTGAGTTTTATTAAGAAGAAATTCCTCTAAGATTTTAAAATGTGGATGCTGTCCTTTCCTACTTTCTGACATTGAAGCAGGTTTGACTCAACAACCATTCATTCATTTATTCATCCATTCAGCAAGTGTCTAATGAGTGCCTGTTATTTGCTGGGCACTGTTAGGCACTGAGAGCTTGCTGGGAAGCACAGAATTTTTATATAGACAACATGCCCACCTTGAAATAAGCCATATAAACGGGATCACTTTAGGGGAAATAGAACTTTATTGTCGTAAGAAAAATTAGGGGAGAGATGGGGATACTGTAGACACTCTTTCTCAATGGTGATCTTTGTGATTTTATTGCAGTATTATTGTAGCTTAAGAGTTGCAGGGAGGAGTTTAGCTGTTATCATTGTTACTATTATTATTTCCTGATTCATGGCATTTTGTTTAATAATGAACCAACCTGAATAGTGGGTAGAATCAATATAAAATATTAAAATAACAAATGGTTTAAAATGGAATTACTTATTAATGAAATGTTTCAGAAGTTGGGTGCTATATTTTGGAGGAGGTTCAGTGAGATTGTCATAGACCACACATACAAACCCTCACCCTAAGTATAGATTAGTTCTCCTATTTATTTACCAAAGATGTCGAACTTGTTAGGGAATGTGATGGTCCACACAGAGCAAGTATTGATGAAGCAGTTTCAACAAGCTTCCTGTCAGCAGATTTGTAAATGAGGCCTACAACCGAAGGTTACACTGTTTGTCAGGGGGTGGAGTCTTACTGAATCATGTACCCTGTTGTTTAAGGACACTTGGACACTAACTCTTTTGCACCCTGTCTACCCCCAAGGGGAGAATGTAGCTTTGCTGTGTTTAAGAACATGATAGAACAACACCTATAAATTTATCTGAATATGGATTACATGAAAGTCTAATAAAAATATATATGTAGATTAGCAGCAATGAGGAGCTCTGCAGATTCAATCCCCAGTGAAAGAACCCTAGCTGGTAGAAATTATAAAAATAACCATCACTTAAAGTCTCTGGAAATTGTCCTAAGGGCATATAGCAAGTAAAGAAAGATTTATTCCAGAAAATCTAATAAATCTCAGTAGTAACAGTGAGATTCTGTTGCACTTGAGGCACAACCTTCTCTCTTCTCCAAGCCCCAGCTCAGACTGATGATGGGTCCACTCTGGGCATGTGTGGCCAGGAAGGTCGGGTTCCCTCTCCCCTAACACTGCCAGTCAAGGGCTGTGGTATACCCCCCTCTAGGCGCAGGTCCCCAGCATTTCTTATCCTCCACCCAAGATCTGTGTTTCAGAGGCTAAAATCCAGGAAAGTGTGGCCTGGAGATAGGCCTTCTTCCTCCACTCAGTCCCTAGTCATACGGCTGAAGTTTCACACCAGGTGAGGCAAGCCATGACCAGAGGCTGCTGCCACTGTCGGGAGCGATGGTTTAGAGATTTTTTCCCAAAGGAAGAGACAGGCTGTATGTCATATCGTGGGGCTCTGAAGCTCTTCCCTAAGGAACTGACTTTATTTAGACAAGTATGGGAGAGTTCAAGCCAAAGGGCACTCTAGAAAACAATGAGAATTTTTGTAGTAAACATTTACAAGAAGGCTCGTAGGCATGACAACAATAAGCTAAACTGTAGACCATCTAGTTTACCAGCAAGAACCAGGAAAAGCGACAGCCAAGGAGAGCCTTCCTGGAGTCAGGATAAACTTCATAGTCTGGCCTAAGAAACTACCCCTGCAAAGGGACCTAAATTTAATCAGATCAGACTGTGGAGTAATTTATACCGCCAGGCACTGTTGAAAACATTAGAGCAATCATCAGGTAATTAGTAGAGCCAGACTACCAACTTCATTCCAGTGAGGTATGGAAATATTACCCCAATATTCCCCTATTCCACTATTGTATCTTTCTACTGTTTATAGTACTATTGCCATGCATATTACCTCTACATGTATTACAAACCCAATGATAAATTGATTACTACTTTATATGATTTTGTATGTCTACTAAAGGAGTTGACAGAGGAAAGGAGAGCAGATATACATTTATATGTTTTCCTATATTAACCTTCTTTTTATCATTTCTGATGATTCTTCATCTATTCCTGTGGATTCTTTTGTTATGTTATTGCTAAATGTACTACATTTTATATGGCATAGGCTGAACAGTAATACCATTATTAAATATTTATTGTTTCATACAATTTCTTTCTAAATCAATTAATAGAAAAAGGAAAAAAAGAAAACAGATATTTCGTTGCATAATTACAATGCCATAAACCTAGCAAAATTAACAGTAATTCCTTAAGATTATTCAGTCCCAACTCCTTAAATGGATTTCCATGATCATTAAGAAAGTTTTTAGCTAAGAAAGAAAATAATTATTTAGAATTCTGTGGAGAGTGAGAGTTAAGGATGACTTTTCCTATTGGTTAATCAGAGAGGGACCCACTTTCTTCCACCTACGGCCATTGCCCATTTTGTCATATTTTAATACCATGCTTTGAAAAATGCCTATCTCATTTGTATTTTAGTTCTTTTACTTAAAGACCACCAGAGGAAGGAGAAAAGATGTTACTGTTTTGCACTTCTTTGTTGTTGGCAGCTCCAGGGAAAGGTTTGGTACCGGGAAGT